ACGAAGGTCATTTTTCGCGCACGTGCTTGCAAGAGCGTGCACGTGCAACACGTGAAATGACCAATTTAATTGATATAGGTGTAACTTTTTACTTTTTTGATGAAATGCTTTGAAACTCATAAAATAAGAATATGTTAGTAGCATAGACAATATGACATGGTCAAAATAGCAAGATCTCACGCGCATGCAACTGTGCTTCGTTCTGATTGGCTGAAATTAAAGTCTCAATATCTTTCTTGTTTTTTTGACGAAATCCTTTGAAATTTTGAACAAAGCCATGCATTAGGATATCCTACAATATGATATATAGCAATTATCATGAAAACACGTGCGTGCACGTGCGCTGCAATCTGATTGGCTTAAACTTTAAATAGCTATAACTCCCTTGGTTTTCAACCAAACAGGATGGGATTTGGAATATAGATAGATATAATGGACTTCTACAAGAAGGTATGGTCACCACATGCATACACATGGGGGTAAGTGCGCTGCAATCTGATTGGCTGAAACTTTAAAAAGCTATAACTCCCTTGGTTTTCAACTAAACGGGGTGGGATTTAGAACATAGATAGATGTAATGGACTTCTACAAGAAGGTATGGTCACCATGCTCATGTATGCACGTGCGTGCACGTGAAATGAATAAAATCAAAAATACACTTCAATGAGCGTATTTTTTAAAATACTTTTAGATTAAATACTTTAATATTTAGTATATTAAAATATATAGATTGTGTAGACAAGATGATATGGTCATTATGCACATGCATTCACATGCGCAGGCTGCAATGCTAAAATTTGAATGAACTTGGTACACTACTGGGTAAACGTTGTTAAAGTCTCAAATGCACAGAGTTTGTCTTATTTAATGAAGCTTACAGGGAATATGGCACCAAAAGGGAGTTGGGGAGCGTTTGGGGAACATCTGTAACGGTCCCCGTTACAATTAGCACTAGTTTATTTAAGAATTGATCAATCCACACACTAGATATTCGCATTTAAAAATCTGAAGCGTGTCCTCTCAGGTACTGATTGGCTTAGAATCATCAAACTTTGTCAGTAGATGCATCTTGGGTTTTCGGAAAATGTCGACCAAAAAGTAGGTCAAAAAGTAGGTCACAGTGACCTACTTTTGTCATTTTATGGCTATATTTAGGTATTTCGGGTACTTATTGGTTCAAAATCATCAAACTTTGTTATTTGATGCATCTTGGGTTATAGGAGAATGATGATCAAAATATAGGTCACAGTGACCTACTTGTGACATTTATGGCTATATTTAAGTATTCTAGGGTACTTATTGGATTAGAATTGTCAAACTTTGTCAGTTTATGCACCTTTGGTTTTCAGAGAATGTTGACTAATAAGTAGGTCACTGTGACCCACTTTTGAATATCTCAAGTACTTATTGGCTTAGAATCATCAATCTTTGTCCATTAATGCATCTTGTGTTTTCAGAAAATTTCAATCAAAAAGTAGGTCACCATGACCTACTTATAGTATTTTATAGTTACATTTAAATATCTTCAGCCCTAAGGCCTAGAAAAAAATATGTTTGTTTCCGCTTTCGGGCTGAAAAAATATAGGGTAGGTAGGTAGGCATTTTTTTTTATATATATATATTTTTTGCTTCTTTAATCAAAACGTGTATAGTAGTAACATTAATGAGTAAATGACAAAAGAAATGGTGTTTTCAAATATTTCTGTGAGTTAAAATTTATAATAGAAAGGTGATCCAAACTTCTTTCTGTCTTGAAAAGCTTGCAAAGTTGGAGACTATAATTCCTTGGGTGAAATCTTGCACATCATGGGCCAAAAGCATTAAAAAATATATAGGGTCGGCACTATAAATTAGGGTCGGTCGGGAAAGCGGAAACAAACATATTTTCTTTCTAGGCCTAACTGGCTTAGAATCATCAAACTTTGTCAGTTGATGCATCTTGGGTCTTAGGATAGATTGTATAATTTATCAGAAGAGCGATTCTAGGCCCTTGGGCCTCTTGTTGTAACTTTATATGTAATAACAAAGAAAGAGGAGTATTAAACACTTCCTGATCACTTTACATGTGAAAACATCTCCGACTGACGTGACAGTAAAATGATGATGCGATGCTGCTCCGGGTCGATAGACCTATGTATGATTATCATTTCACCGAAACTTATCTAATTATCATAGGAATAAGAAATTTTGCATAAGTGTTTTATTAGTTCTAAATAAAATGTGGATGAATTTTCGTGAAATTATCTCCATCCCTTATGGAGTTAATGTAATTGTCTCAATAATTTCCGAACAGCCCTCGTATATACACATGTATAATGTAACGGTATGACGTTTAACATTATTTAAATGAAGGTATTTTATGTACAGTGTTGGGGGATAATCTGGTAAAACAAACCCTAACTAAGAATTTCGGAAACTTTTATCATAAGAATGTTCAGAAGTTTCCAATAATGAGATAAATAGCTAGCTAGTTTTTCCTTTGTCTGTCTGTAAACTTTTCACATTTTCGATTTCTTCTCAAGAACCTATTTGGGCCAATTTCAACCAAATTTACCATAAAGCATCCTTGGGTGAAGGGGATTCAAGTTTGTTCAAATGAAGGGCCACGCCCTCATTCAAGGGGAGATAATTGGGAATTAATGAAAATTTGGTGGGATGTTTTAAAAATCTTCTTAAGAACCACTGTGCCAGGAAAGATAAAACTTATGGGGAAACATCCTCAGGTAGTGTAGATTCAAGTTTGTTCAAACCATGACCCCCAGGGTAGGGCAGGGTCAAAATGGTCAACCAAAGTTTTACATAGAAATGTATAGGAAAATTCTTTAAAAATCTTCTTCTCAAGAATGACAAAGGCATAATTCATCATATTTATATGGAAGCATCCTTAGGTTGTGTCGATTCAAGTTTGTTTAAATCATGACCCCTCGGGGTAGAGCAAGGCCAAAATGGCCGACCAAAGTTTTACGTAGAAATAAATAGGAAAATTCTTCTCAAGAATAGAAAAGCCATAATTGATCATATTTATATGGAAGCATCCTCATGTTGTGTAGATTCTTGATTGTTCAAATCATGACCCTGGGGGTAGGGCGGGTACAAAATGGCCGACCAAGTTTTACGAAGAAATATACTGGGAAATTTTTTAAAAATCTTTTTCAAGAATAGCAAATCCATAATTGGTCATGGGACTACTTTTGGATTTAAACTTTTCAATAATAAACCAATTTCTACTTTTTCCTAGCCACAGTGCTCAGGTGAGCGATGGGGCCCATGGGTCTCTTGTTATTAAAAGCTTCTCCTACCATTGTAGTCTTATTGCAATCTTGCTACATAAAGAGACTTAATCAAGGATCATTATAGTATATATTGCTTTTTTTAAAATTTGAAGTCCCAAATGCTACTATTGTCTTCCTTTATTATAAGTACAAACCAGTAGAGCTTCAGTCTCGACAGAGACTTCTGGATTTAATGATATTAGAAACATAAATGTTACACACTTTTAATTATGGTATGTCTATATTTTGTCGTTATCTATTAAATTATATCATCAGAAAGAACATTGTAAATTGTAAATAAAGGGAGAGTTCAGACATAGTTTTGATTATGGTGACAGCTAGTGCAGAATTAACTTCTTTAACATCTGTGTTGGAAAAAATTATCCCTGTCTGATTTCTCAAGCAAGATTCATAGTTTTCTTAATTTTTTCTTGTCTATTGAAATTAAAAAAAAATAATTTTATGTACATAAAATTCCCTGCGCAAAATAATAAACAGAATGTAACTTCTACCGTCTTTTTGAAGCCTTCTTGTGTATATGAAAAGAAAATGTCAAAATGTATATCTTGATATGACTTACTGGTTAATCTGTCGGAATGTATTGCAGTTAATCAATTAGCAATTCTGAAATCGATTGCCATCCCTAGTAGATTCAAAATTGTTCAAATCATGACCCCCAGGGGTAGGGTAGGGCCACAATAGGGAACCCAAGTTTTACATGGAAGTACCGGTATATGGGAAAAAAACTTTCAACATCTTCTTCTCAAGGACAAGTAGACTAAAACAGCTGAAACTTAAGTGGAAGCATCCTGGGGGAGTGTAGATTCTACATTGTTTGAATCACGACCCTTTAGGATTGTCAAGGTCAGACAGGTATTACAAAGGGGGAAATCTGTTAAGTGACAGAATTGCCAAAGTTACTCAGTTGAGCGATAAAGCCCATGGGCCTCTTGTTTTCAATATTTTCATATCCTTTTTCAAATATATAAAAAAAAATTGTAGGGGGGTAATACCTCATTCTCTTACTATTTTAGCTTATACCAGAATTACCATCTCTCCAAAAACAGCAACTTTTGGAGATAAAGTAACCATAAAAATGGACTGTGTGTATCCGTATCCAAATATCAGAATTGACTATGTTAAGGTAAGTGCTGAAATAACTTTTTAGCTCACCTGAACCGAAGGCTCAAGTAAGTTTTTCTGATCAAAGAAGAAAGGGCTCTAAGGGCAAAAATCTGCCTCAAGTTAGAAATAAATGAAACATTCTCAAATAATACCTTAGGGTTTGTAAATGATTAAACAATTTAAATTTTAGCGTTATCTTTTCTAGTTTTCTTCCTTCTGTCTTTTAGATTAGGCATTGTTTTCTCAACAAATGACATGACGTCGACGTTTTTATACCTATAACGTCATGGATTGACGTTACCACAAATCTGGACATCGCACATTGAGCATTGATTTTAATTGGGTTTTCTTTATTTTAAAGTTTCTTTTTTTCCTTTTGATTTTTATTGTAGCAATTAGAAACATAAAATTTAATTTATACGAAGTAAATACATGTACGTAAAAGGAATAGAATCAATCAAACAGGACTCTACTTTTAAAAATTGGGAAACATTACTATGACTTTTCAAGACGTTCTGAAAGTGCAATAATAGCTTTGTTTTTCTAAAAATGAGAAAGGTTTTTCAATTAATAGCTTATTTACTTCAAAATGGATGTAAAAGTAATTGTACAACATTATTCTTCATCATTCTCATCTTCACTCTCGCTTTCATCTACTGTCAGTGGCTCTGGAATATCCTGTGCATCAAGTAGGTATTTGCTCCAGTCCCGAAGACTCTCAAAAGTGCTCTCACTGTAATGTCCGATGCCAAGATACCACATAAGGGAAGTGACATGACAACAGGTCCCAACAACACGGGTTCCTATTTTACATTGACAGTACATGTACCAGCTAATAACTTGGACGTCACTATATTGAATCCAAACTTTGTAGCCTTTCGAAGACACGTCATGACTGTATTTTTGCGCAAAGTAGGTCTGGCTCATGGTTGCATATCATATAACATCAAAATTGCCGTCACTATCCAAGTGCTCTCTTGTGTAGCAGGGTGCAAGCTTCAACTGGTACACGCCAAATGTCAGGTTTTGAATATCCTCTTCACATAATATCGGAAAGTCAGAAATAGAAGAGGTATTGAATTTTTCCCATTTGCACGATCTTTTGTCTAGACCCTCGGACTTGATTCTTTCATGAATTACATTTTGCTGTTTGGAGAGATATAGCATTTTACAGCCCAGTTGATCTTCCTTTTCAGAGTCCTTTGGGTTAATTTCTGGCAAGTACTTATTCATCATGGCACAGGCGATTTTTACATAATCAGCAATATATGGTATTTGACTGTTTGGAAGAACCCGGTCAAGATATTTCCATTGTTTTATGCGGCCATTCACAGACTCGACAATCCATCGTATTTTCTTAACGAGTCTTAAGGTGTTGCTCTCTTTCACTGGCAATTGAGATTCACCTTTCTGGTTAAATGATGGCATTTTGGTTCTTACACCAAGTTCATCCAACAATTCAACAGAGTCTCTAAAACCTCGATCAACGATAAGGACATCTTCTTCACAAATCCACCGTTTAAAGTCTTCAATATCGTTACCAATTATGTGCTTCATAATTTGAGCATCACTATTTTTGCCATCACTGAAGTAGGAGCCAATCACAGTAAGGATATAACCAGTTGTAGAAACAAAAACCATTGGTTTTACCAGTGGACGGTGTTTATGTAAACTGTAGCACTTGCGTTGGAATTTGAACTGTAAACTCTTCTGTATGTAGATGTAAGTTCTGTCGGCTACTAATATGGCTGGAAACTTGCCTTCTCCAAATAATGATTGTGCTATTGGTCTTCTATGCGATGATATTATTTCTTCTCTGCTTATGTGCCCAAATACCAGATTTGATGGCACAAAATGTTGTGAAAGATACTTCCGTGCTGATGCAATGGCATGACGGATTGAGTCTCTGCCTTAATTGAATAATGTGCAGAGAATTTTATTTGGCATGCCTGTCTTCAGTTTAGTGAGAAATATGCCAATACATGTGCGGACACTGCATGTACTCGAATCTCTCAGATTTCCTCCAACTTCTGAACAAAGTTCATCTAAGTTCTTTTTTGTTATTCCAGTCAAAGTTAAGATGTCTGAATCCGATAAAGACTTTACATTGTCAAAATGGATGCGTTTTTCACTTTCCCTTACAGCAATTTCTTGAATCTCCATTATAAGTTCCATTAGATCTGAGCGGTTAAAATCAGATGTGGTTCGAGACTGGGAAATCTGTTCTACTGCATGAGCATGGAAAAGATTTTCAGATAGATGACCTGGGCAGCATCTAGCTCCAATGGGCAATACAATAAGTTTTTCCAAAAACAGGTTATACCTAGCATTTTTAGGTATGACGACTAGCTTTGGACCACGACGCTTGCAAACAGCACACTGTGAATGACTACCTCCCACTGAAGGTATTGGCAGTGTGATGCTTGGAGGTGACTTAGGTATTTTCTTAGCTTTCTTGGTGGTGGGTATGTACTCTGTGTCTACATCTGTGTCCAGAATACGGTTCTGTTTCGCAAAGTCCTTTTCTGAATCCCCAGCAGTTGCATGGATTTCTCGGGAACAGCGGAGTCGACATTTATGACAGATGACACTTCCAGTAGCAAGTATTTTGGAGGATTCTATTAGGAAACGTTGTTGGAGGAATTTCCGAAGTTCTTTATTTTTTGATCCAGTTATTGGTCCTCTATCTCGGACCTCCCTAATGTAGATTTTCTGCAACTTCCATGGAATTCCAAGGCATATTCCATGGAATTCCATGGAATTTTTGTTCCGCAGAATTCTTAGGAATTCTCCGGAGTATTGGGACGGAACTTTTTTCGGAATGATTTGGAATTTTGAATCTAGCCTGGAAAAGAGCGGAACAATGCCAGAATGGAAATTTGCGTAGGAAATCCATGGAATTCCAGGATATTTGTAAATCTAAGGAATTCCATGGAAATCCATGGAATTCCAGGATTCCAAATTCCAAATACATGTACAATGAACACTGAAATAATTAGTGCCACATAATTACAAAAAAAAACTTGATAACATCACAATTTTTTATAGATCAAATCTATATTTTCAAAATAAAAAATTCATGTTTCTCTTACAATGTTTTTTGAGACAAATATTGCATTACTCTCAGATGTACAATCTAAGCACACTTTTTAAATGTATTCTCACTGAAAGTATTTTTACATCAAATGTTATTTACAAAAATATCCAGAGAAAAATATGATTACTGGAGAATCACCTTGGTTAAATTAATGATAATCATATTATGATATACATGTATTTAGTAAACTCCAGTCTACATTTTCTAAAATAAGAAGTTAGTTTTATTAAATGACATTGGCCATGGAATTGGAGAGGTCATTGAAACCTCAACAGGGTATTCATTTACAATGAACTGCCAGTGGCTTATGTACTGGTACAAAGTTAATGACTAGAGTGACAAACACATGTATTGAATGCAAAAAATATGTACTACACAACTATATTGATACAAAGATCCCATAAAAGCAACAGATGCTATTTTCCCCCAACATACGTGCCAAAGATCCCAATTAATGAAGATCCAAAACTTCTGACGTGTTTGCTAGAGAATCACTTCCTCACTGATATCGCTTGAAATTAGTAAATGGTCACGTTAGAGGGTTGACAGATAATTGGTGTCACGAACGGATTCACTTTCAGTACGAAGGCTCAGGAAGTTGGACGTTGATCATACCCACAGACACTTCAAAGTTTCTTTGCACAATTTCTGAAAGAAAAGATGACCATTAAGATATTGATGTTATTGATATGCATATAAATACTAGGATATGACAAATAATAAACTAAAGTTATACAAAACAGTTGGTTTTTTCGACCTGGCAAATCAGTTTACTGTAGAATATGAATTCACTATTATGCAATTTTTGTTCAAATTAGGATTAATTCTGATAAATGTAAAAATGTGAAAAGTTTATGGACGACAGACAACATCGGACATTGATCAAAAAATTCACTTAGGCCTTAAAATGGCTCAGGTGAGCTAAAACGAAAAGGTTAGTGCTCAAGCTCAATGCCTGACTAACACTGAAAAAGATAATTTCAATTCATGTGATTTTATTGATTTAGAAAATAATTAAGAAATCTGACCTTTTTGGTTTTTTCATACAGTTCTTGTCCTTGTGAGCATCCGGATTCCTGAAAAATGCATGTATACTTCATAGTAGATGATTGCTATTTGATCTAAATTAATTATGATGCCTGTGCAGTTAGCATGTTTAGATTACCTGTCAGAATTAATTGTTTTAAATTATTAGAATAAGGAATTTAAGCGTGTTAAGAATATAAACCTTTAAATTTTGTTTACTTGGCAAAGTTGCAATATTTTTTTTAATCTAATGCTAATACTGACATGGATTAATAAAATCAAAGTTAGTTTACTTGGTTTGAATGATAATTTGAGCTAGTTCTCACTATATTCACAAGCCTAGTGACTGATTGGCTGAGCATCTACATCCACCAAGTTATAAAATGCCAGCGCTGTGGGGATCATCTCAGGCACAATGCAGCAACTATAAAATAATTAAAATAAGAGCTGAAAATGATCATGAACATGCATTAAAAAATATATCATTAATCACATTGTACATCATACTCTGTAAATGTTATCTTGAACGAAGGAACGTATAGATAAAATTCTTTGCATGAGTTCGATCCCAAACGAGGAAATTCGGGTTCAAGCCCATGATCTTAATATGTTTAGAGTTGTTAAATAATTATTACAAAATTAAAATAGTGCACTTATGATTTAACTGTCGGGCAGTTTATGTGTGATGCCCAGACTAATAAACAGTAGCAGAAGCGTTCTTCATTCAAGGGCACATAAAATACTGTACAATATTGTACCTATCGGATCTTAAAATGTCTTCATCTTCTTCCATCCAAAGCTTATCATGATTCCCCTGTTCTAGACACTCTCTTTCCAACTTTCCTTCTGTGCAACATCAACATGGCATTCGATATTTTTGAATTTCGGCGTGTTGTTTAAATTAATTGTTCATCGAGCCCGACTTCGATCCCGATGTTATTGTACTATCAGTGGACAGTTAAATTCTAAGTATTTTTCCACAGTTTTCCAGTGCAGAAAATGGCTAAGTTTCTCATTTTATCATTTTTTCCAAAGAATTCCACTACTTTCCAAACCAAAAAATGTCTAAGTCCATTTTTTTTTTCAAATTCCAAAATATTCCAAAAACTTCCAGACACATTTTCGAGTTTGGTATAGAAATGAATGGAATTCCATGGAATTCCAAAACTTTTCCAAACCCTCTGGAAAATCTACATTAGGGCTTTGGTCTAGATGAACATAGAACACATGAGTGGAACCTTGGTGAGGATATTCTAAAATATAAAGAAAAAATAAATAAATTAGTCATTATTGTTTGTATAGTTTTCTAAATAGTGTTCATAATAATTTGTCAAAATTACATTAGGACCTAAATGACTAAAAAAAATGCTTTTCCCTATACAATATCAGTATAATTATCTATGCATTAAAGTGAAACTTGTATTAGATAAATAAAGTAAATGCTATACTTCATAAAATATGAATATTAAAACATAAAATATGAAAATTCAAAAATATTAATTAAAAAAAAAGTTCAAAGGCAGATTCGAACTCAGACCTTATACCCCGTGTACTGGCGTCCAAGCTAATAATCGATGGCAACCAGTGACACATACTACTTTTGTATGTAAAACTTGAGCAATAGAAAATCATTACATATTTTTGTGTAGCATACGATACACTTATTTTGTCCGCAAAGTGTCAACATTTACTTTAATTTCATTCCATTCTGTCTAAAAATATCTTGTATCATATTTTCTCATAAAGTTTGGTATTTACGTTCTCTGAATCATTGAATGCTCTGAAAATGCAAGTTACACTATGATGTAGGCCTGTAGATCACTAGATGTAGAATACACAACCTTTACCGGTTAATTTGGAATTAAAGAATTCTATCTCAGAAAATTTAAGATTGTAGATTGTAAACATATAAATTGTTAACCAAATATGCAATTTTTACTAGGCCCCTAACACAGACATTCCGATTTTACAGAATGTAAACAAATCACCGGCAGCTTGTGACAGACGGAGGTTGTTGACACTGTTTTACTGATTTCTCAAAATAATTTTTCATAAAAATGATGAAGACAAACCTGATCAGCCCTTCTGATTTCTTTTGTCAAGATATTTCCTCAGGTCATGCTGAAAGAATTCTTGGATCTTCTTTCGTTAACATCGTGAACATGCTACTAATGACGCACTTGCGTAAAATGTTGGTCATGTACTGTACGTTTCTAAATTTTGTCCAATTTTTATTTTCGTGAATATTCAGAAAAATTATAGTTTATAGTTATAATTATTATACACGTGCATGCTCTGAAGTCTTTAACATGATTACAATTTATCACCGATACGTTTTTATTCCCCATGCACATTCATGTATGCCCTATGTATCACGTGTATGGCCCCTACTTTTATTCAGAAGAAAGAGAGGTCGGAATATTTCAGCCAAACTTGCCACACTGTATTTTTAGGTCACCTGAGTAAACTCAGGTGACCTATTGCTATCTGTTTTCGTCCGTCGTCGTGCGTTGTGCGTTAACATTTGAACATTTTCAGCTTCTTCTCTGCAACCACTGAATCAGTTTCAACCAAATTTCGCATAAAGCATCTATGGGTGAAGGGGAACAAAAATTTTACATAGCAATATGTAGGAAAAATCTTTAAAAATCTTCTTCTCAAGAACCATTGGCCAGGAAAGACGAAACTCATGTGGAATCATCCTCAGGTAGTGTAGATTCAAGTTTGTTCAAATCATGACCCCCGGGGCTAGGATGGGGCCAAAATGGCCGACCCAAGTTTTACATAGGAATATATAGGAAAAATCTTTAAAAATCTTCTCAAGAACCACTTGGCCAGGAAAGCTGAAACTCATGTGGAATCATCTCAGGTAGTGTAGATTCAAGTTTGTTCAAATCATGACCCCCCAGGCTAGGATGGGGCCAAAATGGCCGACCCAAGTTTTACATAGGAATATATAGGAAAAATCTTTAAAAATCTTCTTCTCAAGAACCACTTGGCCAGGAAAGCTGAAACTCATGTGGAATCATCTCAGGTAGTGTAGATTCAAGTTTGTTCAAATCATGACCCCCAGGCTAGGGTGGGGCCAAAATGGCCGACCCAATTTTACAAAGGGATATATAGGGAAACCTTTTAAAATCTTCTTTTCAAGTACTTCAAAGCTATTTTTAGTGATATTTATATGGAATCATCCTCAGGTAGTGTAGATTCTAGTTTGTTCAAATGATGAATGCCGGGGGGGAGGGGTTAAATTCAAGCCCGATGTGCTCTGGTGAGCGCTGCGGCCCCTGGGCCTCTTATTTCACTTTATGTTAATTAATTTTGAAGGTAGTTGTATTAAAACCCCATTCTATCATTAATACTGAAAAAGTGTTTATTGTAACTTTAGAAGAAAATGATGAGAGAGGTACAATTAATCCTTTGGGATTAATTATCTAGCCTGCTGCAGAAAATTAAGTAGGCTTTTCTTTATCTTTAAGATTAATGAAAACCTTTGTCTGCAACTGCTGTTTGTTTGAAGTTAAGGTCAAGCCTTCACGATATTTGCATTCATTGAAGGCTGGCATTCTATATAACACAAGCTTCATAATTGTTTAAATATACATTCAATGTTAAGTTGTTCTTTACTGCCTAATGTAAATACAAGGATATTATTTTCAGGTTTTTGAATATTCAGGAATTATCTTGATATTTTAAGAATACAGTTGCTGTTGCTTATTCTTTTTACATTTTTTAATCATTTCGTAAGCTGCACCCTTTTTATTCTACCCCATGGCGGGGCCCTTGCTGACTGGTCAGTTTTCTAGTTAAAATTCAATTATCACCTTGCAGTATGTCTCACCTGAATAAAGATCCCATTTCACGAGACCCACGTCTTCTGCCGGGGGCCGTTAAATGTCAAGTTAAACTTGCCCATTATGTAACTTTCTATTTACTTAAGTACAGCTATTTGTAAGAACCAGGCAGGGGGTGATTCATGACCACTTCAGATTTTTACAAAATTTTAATATGTTGCTTCATGGACCAAGGGAACATCATTGGACAACATAATTTTTTTGGCCAGCCTTTGTTGCCATGGAAACAATGCACCATGTAAATGCACATGGCAACCAAGCAAAAAATTGAAAAAAATGTGAATTTAGCCTTTATTGAACACAGGAACAGAGCTTTTTTGATGATAGTACCATAAATAAATCTTTTTTTCCTGAGAAGTACATACAAAATGATAAATGATTACCATTAGGATAAAATTATATAGGATTTATTAAAGGTGCTGAATTTCAATTTAACATAGGTCATTTCATAAAATTCACTTTTCACAATATTTCTTCAAATCCAACATGTTTTAGAAGCATATTAAGAAAAAGGCCTGCATGTTCAAGAAATCTGATAACATGGGATAGAAAGAACACATTCTTAATTTTAATAAAATTAAATAAAACCCATGGGTTTTTTAAAAATATTCTGTTACCATGGCAACGAAATGTCACAAAAATTCATTTTTCACAATAATAACCATTTTTAAGAGCATAGTAAGAAAAAGTCCCACATGTTAAAGAAATCTCATAATGTGGAGTAGAAAGAGCACTTTCTTAATTTCAATAAAATTAAATAAAACCCATGGGTTTTTAAATAATATTCTGTTACCATGGCAACAAAATGTCACAAAAATTCATTTTTCACAATAATAACCATTTTTAAGAGCATAGTTAGAAAAAATCCCACATGGTAAAGAAAACTGAAAGCGTGGGATAGAAAGACCACAATCCTTATTCTAATAAAACAAAACAAAACCCATGGGTTTTTCAAAAATATTCTGTAACCATGGCAACAGAATATCACAAAAATTCATTTTTCAAGAAAATACCAAAATATATCATTTTCAGAGTATGTTGTGGAAAAAATACCACAAGCAAAAAAAATTGATAATATAAGATAAAACATGTTCTCCTAAACCTTGCAAAAATTAGATAAAACCAGTGGATTTCTCATAAATTTTTGTAACCATGGTAACAAATTATTCTGGAAATGCTTTTTTTAAATAAATTGACTTTACAAAATCTCCATGAAATACAAAATAATTATTGACTAACATACATGTATTATTTTCACAGTTTATTGTAAATGCATGAAAATATATATTTTTTTTAAATATGCTTTTGTGATTTGTATCTGGTTACCATGACAACATCTCCAAATATATTGTATTTGCCTATACAATTTAGTCAAAGTGATTAGTTTGTATGAAGAAAACTGTATGAGTGGCCATTAGTGAAAGAATAATGAAAGACACAACATTTTTGTTGTACCTAACTTCTTTAAAACAAATATTTGGTTTCTGTGGTAACTGTGATTAACCATTTATGAGACATGATCTAATTATTTCAATTGTATTTTTAAAGCAATTTTTGAAAAATCATCTGTAAATTTACTTTTTGCTGAAATACATAGTTTACAGTAAATAAATCTTGAAAAAATGTCAATATAACATTATAAAGTGTATCAAATGTCAAAAAATCCATGTTCTTGACTAGATAGGCAAACTAAAATTCAAAATTTTATGTTAAAGGGGTGTAATATTAAATATCCTTGGGTGTATCCAGGTCTTGGCTTCAATAAAACCCCTTTTACATTTGGAGGAGCTTAAAAATCAATATCCTTTGTTTCTGGTCTGGATTTCTTTCAAAAAGTTTTAAACTGACAGTGTCTTTATTAGATTTTTTTGGCCATCATTTAGAAATGTGCCGTTGAGATTATCTGTATCAACTGTACAGGTACATCTATGTGTCCTGGCTGCTAAATAGGTGTTCCAGCTAGATTCCTCTGACACAATGCATGTGGTTCATTCATCAATCTGGAAAAAATATAATTCAAAATTTGAACTTTGTTAATGAAAAAAGGCATTCCGTAAAGCAATTTTTTCTTGTTGCTGTTGAAGGAGGAGAGTATCTAAGGTTCGTTTTTTCTATGATCATGATCACAAATACAAGAAGGCCATGGTCCATAACACTCACCAGAGTAACTGGTCTTGCTGTTCTACACCAGATTTTCCTACTTGTAATACCTATTGTGGTTTAGGTCTATTCTTAGGAGGAGGGGGACATGATTTAAACAATTTAGAATCTACACTTAATCCCTGGATGCTTTAACACAAGAGTTTCAGCTTTTCTGACCCAGTGGCTCCCTATTTTTTCTCTTTTCTTGATTATCACCCCTTGTAAGGGATCTTAGCCCTGCCAAGTTTGGTAAAAATTGGCCCTGTGGTTCTTGAGAAAAACCTCAGCTCTACAATTCTTCTCTAAATTTTCAAGTGATGTAACCCCTTCTTTAACCCTCACCCCATCCTTGCCTTAAGTAGTTAGCTGTTATTTGATTCTGAATATTAGTATAACTATTACAGCCTTGATCATCTGAAAAAGGTTTTTTTTCAACAACAAAAATTCTGTTTAGATATGCTGCATTTTATAGATTTTAATTTCTAACTTTCTACTGATTTTAGTTTCCAATATTCAAAGAAACATTATGGATTGAACAAAATAATGAAGATGACATACAATAATACATCTTTTACTCCTATTTGGCTTCCACATACATGTAACTGCAGTAAAACTTGTTTAGTACAAACACGGGCATTGTGAATTAAAAGAAGTCTTCTTGGATCTCCAACTATATAAATATTACAAAATTACAAATATGGATATAACGAATTATATAATGAAGTACTTTTACAGGTCCTAGTTTGTTATAACTGAGTTGTACTGTACATATATGTGTAGATAAATGATTTAACAAGAGACCCAGGGCCACATCACTCACCTGGCTTGGATAAAAATAAAAAATCAGCTTTGTATTGAAAAGCTTAAAAGCATACGTGGTCCTGACCTCTCCCTGTAAGGGAGAGAGAGAGGGGGTATGATTGAACATAACTGAATCTACACTAGGGATGCTTACAGGGTACTGTGAGTTTTTCCCTACAAGTTTGAACACTTTTATTGTAGCCCCACCCTATACCTGAGGGGAGGGGGGGTCATGATTTGAACAAATCTACACTACAAGAAAATGCTTCCATAAGTATATATAACTTACTGGCTTTTCTGTTCTTTGGAAGAATATTTTTAAAGGATTTTTTCTCTATATTCTTAGTTAAACTTTGATTGGCCTTTGTGGTCCCACCCTATCCCCGGGGTCATGATTTGATCAAACTTGAATCTACACCACCTGAAAATGCTTTCATATAAATATTACCAATCAAGGCTTGCTGTATCCGAGAAGAAGATTTTGAAATATTTTTTTTTATATATTCCTATGTTAAACTCTGATCATCCGTTGTGGCCCCGTCCTACACATGGGGTTCATGATTTGAAAAATTTGAATCTACACTACCCGACAATGGTTCCACATAAGTTTCATATTTCCTGGGCTATTGGTTCCTTAGAAGATATCTGTAATGCTATTAATTTTGTAATTCTCTCCCCTTGAAGAATGACAATGACAGACAAAAGACAAACTTTGATTAGAAAAGATCACTTGAGCCTTCAACTCAGGTGAGCTAAAAAAATCAGAGAATCAAGATCAGAAGAAATATATACCTGTTTCAAAGTCTCTGAATGGTAGTGTTCACTATAATTCAGCCCTTAGTCAGAAGGTGATTGATTGATTGTATACTGTTTAACGTCCCTCTCCAGAATATTTCACTATGGAGACGTCACCATTGCCGGTGAAGGGCTGCAAATTTAGGCCTATGCTCGGCACTCAGGGCCATTGAGCAAGGAGGGATCGTTATCGTGACACACCTGCTGTGACAGGGGCCTCGGTTTATACGGTCTCATCCGAAGGACCGCCCCATTTAGTCGCCTTTTACGACAAGCAAGGGGGTACTGAGGACCTATTCTAACCCGGATCCCTAGGCCCTTGATTGCTAAACGAAAAGGAATGTTCTTAATGATAATTAAAAACAAGAAGCCCATGGGCCACATCGCTCACCTGAGCACTAAGGGTATGAAAAAGTAGAAAATGGCTTTTTATTGTACAGTTTAAATCCAAAAGTAGTTCCATGACCAATCATGGATTTGCTATTTTTTAGAAAATGATTTTTAAAGAATTTTCCTATATATTTCTATGTAAAACTTTGGTCGGCCATTTTGGCTCCGCCCTACCCCCGGGGGGCATGGTTTGAACAAACTTGAATCTACACTACCTGAGCATGCTTCCATTTAAATATGATGAATTATGGCTTTGTCATTCTTGAGAAGAAGATTTTTAAAGAATTTTCCTATATATTTCTATGTAAAACTTTGGTCGGCCATTTTGGCCTCGCCCTACGGTACCCCCGGGGGTCATGATTTGAACAAACTTGAATCTCACTATGTGAGAATGCTTCCATATAAATATGATGAATTATGGCTTTTTCATTCTTGGGAAGAAGATTTTTAAAGAATTTTCCTATATATTTCTATGTAAAACTTTGGTCAGCCATTTTGGCCCCGCCCTACCCCCGGGGGTAATGATTTGAACAAACTTGAATCTACACTACCTGAGGATGTTTCCCCATAAGTTTCAATAAATTATCTTTCCTGGCACAGTGGTTCTCGAGAAGAAGATTTTTAAAATATGCCACCAAATTTTCATTAATTCCCAATTATCTCCCCTTGAATGAGGGCGTGGCCCTTCATTTGAACAAACTTGAATCCCCTTCACCCAAGGATACTATGTGGCAAGTTTGGTTGAAATTGGCCCAGCGGTTCTTGAGAAGAAGTCGAAAATGTGAAAAATTTACAGACAGACGGACAGCTAAACAGATGGACGCCGGACAAAATGTGATCAGAAAAGCTCACTTGTTCAGCTCAAGTGAGCAAAAAACTGCAAGTTGTCAACACAAAATACCGAATTATCTAATGATACATAAATAATATAAAGTATATGTAACACTAACGTTAGTTGAATTGATAATCTTTTCTTGGTGATTCTTTGGTTGTCCTCAATTTTTAAGTTTACACTACCTCAGCTGTGCAGGTGTTGTCAAAGGGGATTTTGAAATTCAGAACAAGGCTCAGATTGCATCTGAAATGATAACAAATCATGACATTCATCATATGACAAGAGAATGCATACATTTATATAACAATTTAGCTTTTGAATTATTGATAAAAAATATTTATTTACCTCCACCCCTCCCCCATGTACTAGTGATATCATCATGAATTCATACTATTACCAGGTAGTTATAAATTTGAAAAAGAGTTCTAGTTTTGTAGGATCAAATTTTATTTTTTAAGTTTTAATCCTAAATTAGATGAAAAAATTGGCAGAAATTTAACCCATGCATATTTTATGTGCTCTCATATTTATAAATCTCTCTCTTTCTATGTGTGTATATATTTGCTTGTAGGAATATTTGGGAAGCCCCCCTCCCCCATTCGGATAGGGTTTTATGGCTTTAACACCCCCTCCCCCTCGTTTCAACTGATAAAACCATAACAATATTTTATTGGTTGTTTTGCTTGTCAATTAAATTTTGTAGGGCTCCCCACCCTTCTATATAATTCAAATAAAAGGAAATGCATTTGAAGAATATCATACACATATAAATTTGGAAATATACAGTTTGAAAGGGCACAATTTTACATTTTGATTAAATGAATAAGAAAAATAGTAATTATGGTTTTGCCATAACATCTGAGTTTTTTCAGGGCTTAGTTAAATATTCACTATTTTAAGAAGGACCCATTGGCCATTCCGTAAACAGTGTTTGAAACAACAGTGCTCCTGACTGCCCGAGACACACAAATTTTGCTGTGGGCTTACCAATTTGCACATATTGATGCCCAACTGGACTTGTTTAAAGTTTTCATTAATTAAAATTTAATAATTTGATTAATCACTTCCAAATCAACTAATGGTTTCATGAGCAGTACAGGATTTGTGATTAAAAGGGAGGGGGGGGGGCATGGATAACTTTGTTCAGACAAGGGGTCTTGATAGTGATGTTCCATAGTACAGTCATACGTTTAGTCATACCATAGTTTGAATGAAGGGGGTCCAGGGGGCAAAGCCCCAGAAGCTCCTGAGATTTCATGTGTTTAAGAGTAAAATTAGGCAAAAAAATAGTGGTTTTGTATGAAAGTATAACATTATTAATATAATATTTTCATACAGCAAAACATGGACACTATTATATTCATATGGGAGGCCGGGGGGGGGGGGTATCATTTGCTCATTGCTCACAGCACCTCTAGTTTCAAAAATAAATTTTACAAAAGACAATTATTTTCTCAGCAAGGCTGGTAGTTTTTTAGCAGGACTGATAACTTTCACTAGCAGTCAGCCTGTATGTTTGCTATCATTTTTTCTTGACTTTCCCCTTTTTCAATTTGATAAAAAATAGTCAATATTGTCTTTGTTTAGACATTTGTCTGTGTTATGTATTAAATACCTGATCTAAATATGACATCCATAGAGGCGCCGAGACATGAAAAAATTATGCTCCATCCAATCTCTGCTGTGGCTTTCACTGCTTCTTGCTATGGCTTCATGTATGCTGAGGTCGAGGATTTCTTCCAGTCGACTGTGTATATTGCAGTACTAAGGGAGTATCGACGGAAAGGAGAGATACTCATCATACTCTAATCCCCAGCAGCGAGCTACTGTTCAAATTCCAGTACAAAATTAAATGTTTTCCCCAAAATTAACTGAATTTAAGTAGTTTTGATGATATTGTTGAACAAGTTAGCCTTTTTCAAAACACTCAAACTCTTAGAATGTTTAGGAAATGAAATTTTGTTTTTGTCAGATAAAATTAAGCAAATTGCAGGCAGTTATTTTTTTTATCCTAGGAATATATTTTTCTAATAAAAATTTTAGACTTACATGCCCCTTGGATGTATGAAAACTGGAAAAAATTCCAAAATGAAGATGAAATCACACACATTTCTTAATCCTCCCCTTCTAAACTGAAGAGTTAAATACACTCTTTCCAACTCCTTTTACTAAAGAGCTCCAAGGGAGATAACTAGAATTTCATGTTTTTACATAATTTAACTTCACAATATCTATTCGTAATTAAAATAACCCATGAGTTTTTTAATTGTTTTTTACTCTTTGATACTAGATGTTCAATATTTTATAATTCACATTCAAGGAGAGTGCGGGCCTTCTTAAAAAATCACCTGCACGTACAGACACCTTTCAATGGATACTGTTGACTGTTTCAGTATATATTGAATTCATTTTTTAACCACTTATGCATGAAATCCATTTATAACTGTGATCAAGTATTTAGTTTGATGTATCTTAATGTAAATATGATAGTTTTTGAAAAATCTATCACTATCATGAATCACTTATTTTCATTTCTGCCTGGTTCTTATAAATAGCTGTACTTAACCACTTTGAGGTATCGAGGGTAAATTTCAATAGAATACTGTAGATCACTTAATTTTCATGACACCTAATTTTCGCGAGATAGTCATTGACTTTTTATTAGCAAGACAAAATTTTCATGAATTGTGGTCATTGCTCTATATAATCTTAAGGAATTCTATTATGAGCGAGAATGAAATTTTCACAAGCACACTGTCTGGGGTTATTTCTCGAAAATAAAGTTCTCACGAATAAAAAGTGATTTACAGTATTCAAGGCAGGACTGCATTTTACTTTGAGGGATCAAGAGTTGCGAGAGATCAAGAGTTCGAGAAATCAAGAGTAAATTTGCTTAGTTATATAGGGGAAAAATTCGGGATTGGAGACTCACTTCGAGAGATCGAAGTTAGAGCCATCAAGAGTTACCTGTATTACGAAGTAACGTATACATGTACAAACAAAATGTTTAAAAAAATCTTTAAAAATCTTTTTCTCAAGAACAGCAGAGTCATATGCTGTATTGATATGGAGACATTCAAGTAGTATTAAAATTAACCCCCCCCCCCCCCCCCCAGGTAAACTTTTCAATTCTGATCTGATTGGTTTTATATGTGCTTCCACTGGCAAGTGTTTTAATAATGCAGGTGTTGAGGTGATAATTGTTATATAAACAATGGTCATGGTTAAATATAGCTGCAATGACGCGGCAATAGAATCCCTTACGATTTGTAACTGGAATTACATATCAAATTTAGAAAAATAAAATATAAGTTATAGAATTAAGAATAATTCAGAAAACATAAAAGAGATTATAACTGTTGACTCATTTATAGGTATTGTAATTAAATACATCTATGTCTTAAGCGACATGCAGTTCGTTGATGATATAAGTGATGATAGTTCAAAATGGCGGAATACGCAATGGAAATAAACAAAGATCGTTTTTCATCAGAATTTTATTTTTGAAATGGTTTTCTTTCTTTCAACACTTGAGGTTAGGGATGTCACGAGTACCCGGTTAACCGGGTACTCGATCGAACGTCCGAGTATGGAATACTAAAATCGGTACTCGGTTACTCGTATGTATATTTTTAGCTATTCTGAGCCAAAGGCTGAAAGAGCTATTGCTATGGCCTTTTGTGCTGTGTGCGGTTTGTGTTAAATTTTTAGAATATGGGCCATAACTCAGGAACCCCTTGGCCAATAGGTACCAAATTTGTCACAGGGTATCCTTGGCCCAAGGGCTACCATTTATACTAAAATAAGGGTTGGGACCCTTTAACAAGGGGAGATAATCAGGAAAACAAAACCAAAAGTACTGGTTGCTAAAAAATCTTTTTCTCCATAACCACCAGGCAGATATTCACCAAACTTTCATACAAGGATCAGAATATGTCGAAGATTAAAATTTGCACGGGGAATTACCCTTGGGCAAAGGGCGTGGTCTCAAGGTCACTTCAAAGTTGACCTGAATTTACAATTAATAAAAACATGTACCGGTATATTTTGCTTACTATAAGGACTAGGATCATCAAATCTTGCAAGTTGATGCATCTTACGACTTCACATCATGTTAACTCAAAAGTAGGTCACCGTGACCTACTTTTTAAATTTTGCGGGGATTTTTTTTCAAATTGATTTGAAGGCATATTTTGGACAATTTAAGGCCTATGATCATCAAACTTTGTCAGTTGATGCATCTTGGGTCCTCGAACAATGTCAACTTAAAAGTAGGTCACAAAAGTAGGTCACCGTGACCTACTTTTTGAACTTTATGACTTATCCTTTTAAAAACATTAAATCCCATTATTTCAGACACTGGGAGGTTTAGAATCATCAAATCGTGTACTTTGATGCATCTAGGGACCTTAAAACCTATTTATGAAAAAGTAGGACACTGTGACCTACTTTTTGAATTTTGCCGACATTTGTTTTCAAATTGTTGAAAATGCATATTTTGATTACCTTCAGACCTATGATCATCAAACTTGGCTGGTAGATGCATCTTGGGTCTTCGAAAAATGTCGACCAAAATGTAGGTCACGATGACCTACTTTTGACATTTTATGGCTATATTTAAGTATCTTAGGTATTTATTGGCTTAGATTCAGCAAACTTTGTAAGTGGATGCATATTTTGTTTTCGGAGAGTGACGACCAAAAAGTAGGTCACGGTGACCTACTTTTGACATTTTATGGCTTTATTTAAGTATCTCCGGTACTTATTCGCTTAGAATCATCAAACTTTATGTGTTGATGCATCTTGGGTTTTCGATGAGTGACGACCAAAAAGTAGGTCATGGTGACCTACTTTTGACATTTTGTGGCTATAATTAAGTATCTCTGGTACTTATTGACCTAAAATCATCAAACTTTGTCAGTTGATGCATCTTGGGTTTTCGGAGATTGTCGACCAAAAAGTAGGTCACAGTGACCTACTTTTGACATTTTATTGGTATATTTAAGTATCTCTCAGGCACTTATTGGTTAAGAATCATCAAACTTTGTCAGTTGATGCATCTTGGGTTTTCGGAGAATGTCGACCAAAAAGTAGGTCACCGTGACCTACTTTTGAATATCTCAGGTACGTATTAGCTTAGAATCATCAAACTTTGTCAGTTTAGGCACCTTGGGTTTTCGGAGAACGTCGACCAAAAAGTAGGTCACTGTGACCTACTTTTGACATTTTATGGCTATATTTAATTATATCTGGTACATATTGGCTCGAAATCATCAAACTTTGTCAGATGAGGCATCTTACGGTTTCATTGAATGTCCAAGAAGAAGTAGGTCACGGTGACCTACTTTTGAATATCTCAGGTACTTATTGGCTTAGAATCATCAAATTTTGTCAGTTTAGGCATCTTGGGTTTTTGGTGACCTACTTTTGACATTTGAGGCTATATTTAATTATCTCTGGTACTAATTGGCTTAGAATCGTCAAACTTTGTCAGATGATGCATCTTGGGTTTTCAGAGAATGTTGACCAAAAAGTAGGTCATTGTGACCTACTTTTGATTCACTGTGACCTACTTATGGTAAAATATAATTATATTATATCTTCAGTCTTAACTGGCTAAATATCATCAAACTTTGTAAGTTGATGCATTTTGGGTCTTATGATACTAATAGAGTTGGAGGCTTCTGATAGATTGTACAATTATCAGAAGAGTGATTCAAGGCCCTTGGACCTCTTGTTTAATGTTTCAAAGCTTATTTATTAATGCATTAAAACATCAGTTTTAAAAAGTAAAATGTTCATTGCATTTGTACATACAGTAATTAGGATTTTCTACATCTCTAAATGACCGTTATCGCCCGTGGCAGTGTTTATACAATAATTATCGTGACCAAGCACCTGTTACCTGGCTTTTCTCACCTGCGACTGTCTTCTACCCAAAAGTTAAACTCACATTATTGGATCAATTCAAACAAAGTTGGCAATCAATCCTTCAAACCTCACCCAAAGCTTCAAATTATAGAATATACAAAGACGAACTAAAATTTGAAAACTATTTTAATATTTTATCAAAAAAGGACTTAATAACATTTTATAGATTTCGAACGTGTAACCATCATTTACCAATATATTGAAAGTGGACGCTGGCTTAATATATGAAGACAAGATAGAATTTGTCCCCATTGTAATCTAAAAGAACTTGGAGATGAGTTTCATTACATTTTAAAGTGCAACTCGCTACAAACAGAAAGAAAACTTTGCTTAACAGAAAAACACATAAAATTCCAGAATGTAACTAGAGCAAAGCTCGTTGCAAAGCAACGAGTAGGTCTTCAATCCTGTTTTGACCGGAAGTGACGTCAACAAAAGAAAACAATGAGCTAAGTCGTCTCCAGTCACTTTATAATTTCAATTTTGCATCAAACCCTTAAAAAATAAGCTATTTTTGGCTACTTCCGGTTTGACCGGAAGTGACGTCGACGGACGGAAAATTAAGTTTTATGCTTCCAGTGACATATGTTACTCAAAAACTTGTCAAGAACACAGACCTGTTTACTCTTACGATTTCGCCGTATTTTGTACGGATTTTTCGTCTAAAATACGTCTCACGTTTTGCTTTTATGAAAATACGGAAATTGGAAATACGTTCATTTGGAACTTAGCAGTTAGTTTTCGTTTTGATATGTCTTCGTTTCATGCATTTGAGTCGATTAAAAGGAGAAAAATGTCAAACACCTAAGTGATGTCGGGTTGCCAAAACGATGTGGTATTATAAAATGACAATGACCATGTTGTTAAACCAAGTTTTTTTTTTTTCAGTATAGTAGTTGATCTATTTTAATATATGTAAAATCGACGGAAATTTAAATCTTACTGGGAAATTACAAATCTCACGGAGAAATCTAATCAAAAATACTGAGAGACAACGATATGGGTAAACAGGTCTGAGAACAGCAAAAATATGCATTTTCTGACTACTTCCGGTTTGACCGGAAGTGACATCGCCGGACGCATTTTGATGACTTCAATAGATTAAGCTTGACATTTTGAACAACTTTGCTTCTTGTACGTATTACAAATTCTCAATACTTTTTGAAATATCTGGAAAAAAAACTTTTGGCCCCTCTAGATTCCTTAATTTAGTGGTCAGCCCTTTTTTTGAGATAACATTTGAAAGATCTTGTAATTCTGCAATAATTTTGTTCTATATGTTTTAATAAAATATTTTTTGTTTAAAAGATAAAAAGCAAAATATGTGTAAATTTTCGCTCTTTTAGGCATTCTAATTTTTGACCCCTAAATAGCACCATTTTAAATCAAGAAATCGAAAAACAAAAACCGCTATGCACAACTTCAATCCTTCTATTGTGTAAAATCAATAAAATTTCTGTTCCAGAAAGCCTATAAATTTTCGTTTAAAGGGAAATAACTCAAAACCGGAAGTAAATTTTTGGAACCCTAGACAAAATTCTGATAGAATTTAGTAACGTCTATAAACTCTGAAAATTTGAGCAAAATCGATTGAGAAATGAGTGAAATATGAGGCCTCAAAGATGGCATCTAGAAAAATGAAAAAAAAAAGAATAATAAGAATAATCTTAATCATCAGAATCAGTAGAAGGTCTTCCGTTGAAAACGGAAGACCTTAATTAGTTTTAAAAACTATGAACAACAATAAACACTGCTTTCTAAGAAAATTGTGCTCCTTTGTAAAGAAAATAAATAAAATACTGTATACTGGGTTATTTTCGCCCCGTCTTATTTTCGCCCTTTAACTCTTGAAAACAATTTCACCCAGTTTTAAATTCGCCCAGTCATAGTTTTGTTTAAGAAATTATACTGTATTCTTTGAATTCGCCCCGTTTTAAATTCGCCCAAATCAGAGTAGGGCGAAAAGGGCGAAAATAAAACGGGGGCGAAAATTTCCCTGTATACAGTATGCTCCCCAGCCTAAATTCCCATGCTTCACATTTATAGTAACCTACAATTTTTTTTTTTGTTTTTGTTCAGTTTCTTACTCACGCATGCCTTTCTAGACCTGTTGTTGTATATAAAATCACCTATATGTTTTTGTAGTCTCTGTACGCTATTGTAAAATGGTGAAGAGATTCAAATAAATGATTGATTGATTGATTACCCATATTTGTTGTTTGCTTTAATGATTTGTTTTCACTGAACATCGTTTATGGTCTATTATGTTTAGATAAATTAGATAATTTTTTTCAATTCATCAAGAAGTCGTAATTCTCGGGAAAAGAGACAGATGATATTATATGTACACGTGCGAACGGATTGTTGATATGGTTGTGTTTGATTACATGCCAATTAATTCAGATGGTTGAGACAAAGGGTTTAAAAAACCGATGTCCATAGTTGCATCAAAATAGAACATACCATCCCATAATACTATAAACTATAGGATCGGAAAAATGTATGAAGATATATAGTAAATCCAATCTGTCAAAGGAGAACTTGATCAAGTTGATACTGAACCTCGGACGACTGATCAAATGCAACCAAAGAGTTACATTACAATTACGGAGCAGAGTAACATTAAAAAAAAATAATAATAAACAAAACTCTGAACTATTTATGGTTTAATTCCTTGTGTTTATCAGATGAATAAATTGAACTTAAAATAATGTTATATTAAATTTCTTTGGGCATGAAGTGCTCATAATTACTACATCAGATTTATGGGTAAACCTCCCCATCGGAGCATGTGGTTTTATTTCTACAAGAGTTTACAATGTTTTACAGTTTTCAATGTTACTTCTTCATATTTATGTACACTTTTACTGAGTACCCGGATACTCGATCGGAGAAACGTCCGAGTATCCGAGTAGTAAAAATTGACCGATTTGACATTCCTACTTGAGGTATATGTTTATTTCTACAACAGATAGGGCTAACGTATATAACTCTCAGAAATTAGATTAACTTTGACGTAATTGGTTACAAAGGGTAATCAATTCAAATGGATCAGGAAAATGGTCATCGGCACTGAAAAAGTGACCTGAAAAAAAGAGGGTTGAATTTTGTTCCTATGTATTGAGCGCATCCCTACTTTTGAACAATTTTCTGACAAAAAAGAAGTGCAACCAATACACAGGATTTTACGGTAAATTACTGAAGCATCATAATGATTTGCATCAATGCATTGTAAAATTATGATCATATGTTATGTAATTAGGGGCCATAAGGGGGCCAAAAATGCTCATTCTTGAATTCTTTATATCTCCAAAGGGGGGAATATTTTAATAGGCAGTATTGAATCAAAGATGTTCAGCCTGAATAATATCCTTAACAAAAGAAAACCATTCAATATTTTCAAAAACGTCCCTTAAAGGATGTAAAAGGCTGGCCCCTTAAGTTTTCCATTTTACAAAGCTCGAAAACAAAAGGGAATTGCTAACTTTCATCTTTAACTATTAAATAATGTTGTAATGTTCTATAGATAAAATAATTTAATCAAAGAATGAAGTCTTGATATCTATCATTATGATCTAACAAATATCATAGTCAAAATTATATCTCATCTTATCGAAAAATCGGACGGAAGACCTACTTGTTGCACCCAATGAAATCTCATTTAGTTCTATTTCTTTATATTATAGGTCCAGAATTTTGCTAAGAAAAGATTTAACAGTTACTGCACTGGGCTTCACTTTGTATTGGAAAATAAATGAATATAGTTATATTTCGTAGATTTAAAAATTATATTTATCCAGTCACAGAATTTAAAAACTTTCCAGAATTTATTGTATCAGATAATAATGTCAAATAAGGCATTGATATATGTCTAAAAATTTAATTTAATCTGTCAATTATTTATGTTTGCTTTACATTTCATTTAGGAGTTTGACACAGATAGCGTTCTGAGTAGTGAAAGTGAAGTTAAATTTACCAATGGCACAGCATTGAATTGTCCTGTAGTTGATAGTAGAGCAATATCTGTGAGTGGAACTTTTACCCTGAAAGACACAAATTTAAAAGAATCAGCAAAAATAAAGGCTACAGCAATGTTTGGTACTTCTTCTGCGACATACACAATTTCGGAATTCACTTTAATATCAGGTATGTTGAAGTATTTTAAGAGAGAATTAATGCTGAAAACTTGTTTTAAATCCTGGTAGTTTATTGTCAATTTTAGGTCACTTTAATGAAGTTGAGGAATATGTAATAGATTAAAGTTTTTTGAGCAGGTTTATTTTCAAGTACATGGTCTTCTGTACCTTGTATTAATCAGAGATGTATTGAAATGCTTCTAGTATGTTTCATTGTACTAGTCAAGGTTTCAGACGCTGCAGCTAGAGAATGACCAAAATAATCAGGGCTAGACAGGTAGTGTGGCGGGCAAATAATTTGATAATTGTTACCAGTCCACAGACAAGTGGAAAAGTAGAAAATCATATACTCAAATAATATTGCTTGTTTTATGTTTGTTAAACTATAATGAATACATCATAGCAACTGCTTTTACTGTTAACATCCAATACTAGATGGGAACTAGCTCCTCTTTATTTTTCCAATTTGTGTGTACATGTATGAACAAGATGTAAAACATGGCAGCTATTGATGAGTTTTTAGCTCACCTGAGCCAAAGGCTCAAGTGAGCTTTTCTGTTCAAAATTTGTCCATTGTTGGTTGTTGTCATTGTTGTTGTTAACTTTTCAACTTTTTCTCAAGAACCACCTGGCCAATTTCAACCAAACTAAATACATAGTTTCCATATGTGAAGGGGATTCAAGTTTTTATACGCCCGTCTTAAGACGGGACGTATTATGTTTTAGGCTTCGTGTCCGTCTGTCTGTCTGTTAGCTTTTTCGTTTCCGGTGTCATATAATATATTGAACCCCGCTATATTTTGAACCCGGGTTCAAAATATCACTGCGAAATATTGAACCCCCCTATAAAATATTGAACCCAGGGTTCAAAATATTATGGCCATAAAATATTGAGTCCCCGACCCATTTAATTTTACAGGGAGGGGGTTCAGAATATTATGGCTATAAAATATCGTGTCCCCAACCCATTTAATTTTAGAGGGAGAGGGTTTCAAAATATTATGGCCATAAAATATCGAGTCCCCGTTGACTTCTTGCACAGAAAAAAAGTGTCAACATGTAAGGCAAAAAGTCACACAATAAATAATATGAAAGCTAGAAGCTTTATTTATATGAACTTCACAATTTCATATCAAAATATTGTAAATTGGTATCAAGTTTTGGTGATTTATTAGGACATATCGACATATCATTCAGTCACAGAGCAGAAAAATCTTAGATGTCTTGGGCATGATAAAATATGAGCTTTCTTTTTCTCAACATTTTCCCAAGAGTTCATGAACAGAATATGTTACCTTATCTACTAAACATTTCTACACAATTTCTTGTCAAGCTTAAAATCTATTTAACAAGTAAAGCATTAATTCTTGTGTATTTGTGAGATATGGTGTGAAATTGGTTACTCTCAGTCATGCTCTTTACAGTCCGGATAAAGTTTTCATCTATAATCTTCTTCCTGACCTCCAGTATAGCTCTTTTACAGACCAAGGTCTACAATATGTAACAGTCTAAAAAAATTTTATTTGTAGACAGATGTCGGGAATACCCTAGTTTACTTAAGAAATAAAGTCCACATTTTCATGAATGTTGCAGAATAACCTCCGAGGGTTGAGAAATGTTGTTTCAAAGATAAAAGCCAAGACTGAGGAGATTTTTCTGCATCATTCACGACAACAAGGACTTTATTTCTATTCTTCCATGTCTACTAAAATCACTAAAGTACGGCTGATTGTTTCCTCTACAGAGAAACGAATTAGATCACCATGTCTCGATTACACTGTTCCATTTAACACCAGAGGTAAAATTTGTTTGTTTACCTGTGTCAGTCAGGGGCATGATGGAATCAAGTTATTCTTTAAAATAACTTGTTTAGGTTACTTCACTTATTTATGACTAAACAAAGAAGTAACTCATTTGAGTTAACTCTGAAAAAGTAGAATGCCTATCAGTTTTGCCAAAAAACATCAATATGTTGAGTTTTCTGCTGATTAAAGATGATATAAGGCTGAGAAAGTTGTAAATATATGTACTTCTTTTAATAAAATCATCAGACTTAATATCTCCTGAGCAGATAAGATGATATTTTTTTAAAAAATCAAAGGAAAAATAATGACATTTCATGAACATTTCAGGAGTCAATTACACATCTTCCGCCAATTTTGCCAACACTGAGACTAATTTTCTTATAATCTTTGGACATTACTGTACAATCTCTAAGTCTTACATTTTTTGTGCAAAGCTGTATATTTTTGTGCAAGAGTTCTGAAGTGAGGTAGGTTAAGGATGAAATAACAGAAATAAGTTATGTCATGAATGATTTCCTTCTACTTAATAACCCAAGCACAGCATGAATAAAGCCTTTCAAATACCAGTAGGTTTACAATAATGAGTAGTAAAGTATCAATAACTGGAATAAGTTACTGAAGAAAAGCATAATCAGGGAAAGATAACCCAAAATGTTGACATTTAATAACTTAAACAAGTCATTTAAAAAATAACTTGTTTCCATGATGCCCTTGACTGTGTGTATGGAATGCAGACAATTTTTGCTTTAGTTACATTAATCAAAGTACTGCTATGAGTTGATGGTATTGTTTGTACGTTGTTTAACATCCCTCTCAAAAATTTTTACTCATATGGCCAGGCATCACCACTTGCCAATGTAGAGCTGCAAATTTTGCCCTATGCTCGGTACTTTACGGCCATTGATCAGTGATGGATCTTTTTTTGTGCCTAAAACATAAAAAGATCAGGGGACTTGATATTTATGGCCATAATATTTTGAACCCCCTCCTTCTTGAATTAAAAGGGTAGGGGGACTCAATATTTTATGGCCATAATATTTTGAACCACCTCCTTCTTGAATTAAAAAGGGTAGGGGGGACTAAATATTTTATGACCATAATATTTTGCAACCCCCTCCCTCATCAATTTAAAGGACAGGGGGACTCTATATTTGATGGCCATAATATTTTGACCCCCCTCCCTGTAAAATTAAATGGGCAGGGGGACTCGGTATATTATGGCCATAATATTTTGAACCCCCTACCTCTTAAATGAAAAAGGTAGGGGTTCAATATTTTATAAGGGGGTTCAATATATCGCAGCGAAAAAGTGAACCCGGGTTCAAAATATTATGCGATATTTCGAACCCAGGTTCAATATATCGCGGTATCAAAATATTATACTACACCGGCTCATAACTTCAATACTACTAGGCTTAGGATTATCAAACTTTGTCATCTGATGCATCTTGGGTAGAAGTAGGTCGATCTGACCTTTAATTAAGAAGTTATAGCCAAATAGGGAAAATCCTTTCTGGCCCATAACTAGGAAACTATAAGACTTACAATCATCAAACTTGGCCAGTTTATGCATCTTAGGTAGAAGGTGTGTCGCGACCTATTTCAAGATCACTGTGACCTTTAATTTAAGTGAAATTAAAAAAAATGTGTCTTTTTACTATTCATTTACACATCCCAAATAATGTAAGAGTATTGCACTGTCCCTATTAAAAAAGTGTTAAATCAAGAAAATACTTATTTTTTTAAGCATATACTTGACAGCAATCTATAACAAATATAATGTATGTTAGAGAAATTCTACCTCTCCCATGAGTGTAATTATCATGCACTGGTCAAGAAGAATTTTGATAACAGAAAATTGCATGTCAAATTGTAGAGAAATTAATGGGTATTGAGTGTGAGGAGCTAACTGACAGGGCATTGGTGTTATCTATATCCCTTGAGTATTGGGCAAATGGGTAAGCCTGTTTGATTAAAAATAGCACTTGTTGGCTAGCTTAAGTTTTAAAGATTTTGCATAATAGACTAATCTGATATTATGTAATATTATCAATTTAAAAACTAATTTTATGGGTTGGGTTGGAATCAGCATGTCCATATAAATTATATATTAAAACCTGTTCGATATTAAATCTCAACCAAAGAAAAAAAAAATATTTGAGTATTTTATGTTTTCAAAAAAAATTATGGTGGATAGTGCAGACCCATTCATCTCTTGGTAGTAATGAGAAAACAAGCATCCAGTTAAGATTAATTACTTAATGAGTTCAATGTAGGAAGGCTATGTGATCAAGCAGTCTTATCTGTACCCTTTGGGGATTAGACAGAAGAACTGCTGGTCAGTTTATAACATATGTCCTTTGATGGCCAGCCTTTTCTTTTCAAAATTAATTTGGTATAGATTAAGTTGTTCAGACTAATTTGATATTGATTAATATGATGGGCATTTGACAAGGTCTAACACAACCAGCACAGAAATCTATCAGTGATGTTATATTTATTATAATAATTAAGGCCTACATCACAGGGGATGCATAAATACCATATATCAGGTTTTTTCTGCGTCATGTTTTTTCCGCAAATCAGAACCTAAATCAGTATATTAGATTTACACAAATCAAATTTTCACTATTTCAATGTCCCAGTGATTATATTATTTTCAATTATTTAAGCTTATAAAGAAATTGGATGAAAAATGTAAAGTAAGTAGTAAGGTGTCCGTCGTCCGTCCGTCTGTCCGTCCGTCTGTCTGTCCGTCTGTCTGTAAACAATTTTTCAAAACGCTACTCCTCCTACAGTTTTGGTCTGATTTCAATATAACTTGGCACACAAGTAGGCTACACTAAGATACTTAAAATAGTGCATCGGTTTTTGATTTTGATGAACGGTGTTGCCATGGTTACTAAAAATAGAATTTTCTGTAAAATTCCTTTAAAACGCTACTCCTACAGTTTTAGTTTGATTTCAATATTACTTGGCACACAAGTAGACTACACTAAGATACATAGAATAGTGCATCGGTTTTTGATTTCGATGAACAGTGTTGCCATGGTTACTAAAAATAGAATTTTCTTTGAAATTCCTTTAAAACGCTACTCCTCCTACAGTTTTGATTTGATTTCAATATTACTTGGCACACAAGTAGACTACACTAAGATACATAAAATAGTGCATCGGTTTTTGATTTCGATGAACGGTGTTGTCATGGTTACTAAAATTAGAATTTTCTTTGAAATTCCTTTAAAACGCTACTCCTCCTACGGTTTTGGTCTGATTTTAATATTACTTGGCACACAAGTAGACTACACTAAGATACATAAAATAGTGCATCGGTTTTTGATTTCGATGAAGGGTGTTGCCATGGTTACTAAAATTAGAATTTTCTTTGAAATTCCTTTAAAACGCTACTCCTCCTACAGTTTTGATTTGATTTCAATATTACTTGGCAC